GAATACTTTCCGAATGCACTGTATAGTATCTAGCTCGGGGAGTTCTGATACATCGTGCTGTAGGCAATCACATATCTTGAGCTAAATTTCAGAGCTGCAACATCTGGTTTTTGGTGTATTTTTCCTGGATTTTTCTATCTTTGCCCATTCCTCTCTTGCCTTCTTTATCAGTTTGCTAGAGAATGAGTTCTGGAGAACTTGAAGCTGGTGTTTTCTGCCAGTTTGGTTTGTAATATAATGGTATTACTTGTCTGAGGATTTTAGATTGTTTTTTTCCTCCCTTGTGGACTAAAAAGCCTGTCTTCATTCTGTTCTGTTTCTAAGTATGCTTTGGAAAATCCATGCTTCTTAACAGCAGTTGCTGTTAAAAAATATTTCTGCAAGCAGCTCTCCCAGATTTGTTTTTTAATTCTTGCTGATCATCATCGCAGTCCAAGGTCTTTGTCTAGTGAAGAATTCTGCTTTTTTTTTTTTTTAAATGGACCTTTTTAGTTCTTGTGATTTGCTACCCTACCAAGATGAAAGATGATGGGGGAAAGGGAATACTTAAAAAAAAAAAAAAAAAAAAATCAGGGATATGTTGGAATTAAAAACAAGACCAGTTTTGTCACTCTGTTTGGCAGTGTTTCCAAAGTTTTTATGGACACTTCAGAATTGCAAAAATTGCTAGCAGATGGTTGGTTGGGCACATTTTTAAAAATGGTCTCTTTCACTCGCCTTTTTTTCTTTAAATTCACCAACGCTTTGAAAGGAGGCTTTTGTAGAGTAACTTTTGAGTCTTCGTAGCAAAATGTGTTTTTTTACCAACAAGTTTTGAGAGCGTTCTTGAATTGTATTTTATGCTTGAAGGACACAGATGGGCAGCATTTAAAATGGTCAAAGATTCCTTTGTCTTTTGAAATGTTTATCTTGCTAGGCCCAAAGTCTTTAACTGAATATCTTGTAAAGAAATAGCTGGCTGTGTTTGGTGAGTTGGTCATGACGGCAGTTAAAATTAACTTCTCTTTTCTGGGGCGGAGGGGGGAAGAGTCAGCTTGTTAAAATAAAAGCTTTTAAAAAATTAAGTTTTAGAGCGCTTGTGTGATTTCTAAGCGATTTACCATTGTGTGCTATGGAAATGACTGAGGAATAAATGTAAGTGTTGAGATAAATCCTCCCCCCTTTTTTTCTAATGTCCTCCTTAACCATTTCCTTCCCTGCTGCAATTCATTGGGAGAATAAATGAATTGCCCTTTAATAAAGTTAAAATAGCAGCGTTGTGTTTTCTCTGTGTGTGTGTGTGTGTGTGTGCATGCATTCAAAACAGATGACAAGTTCTACTTTTCACAGAAATGCCTTGTCTTTCTGAACTGGAGAGGGGAGGGCAGAGGGTGTTTTTTTGGGGGGGGAGTTTATGAATTAATGCACAGGTTAAAAGGTTGGAGCCTCTCTGTTGGAATGCATTCATTTTGCCTTCAGACGAATGTTTGTGGTTAGGCCTGCTTTAGAGGCGCAGCGTAAAAGCCAGACACAGTCAGAAGTGTGGTGTTTTAAGTAGGTGGGTGTGTATTTTTTTTTTTAAACAACTGCAGACAAAAGCCTGCTGTGCAGGTAAGAGTACAATTCTCATTCTTTTAAGATGACACGTATGATCATTTCCTACTTCAGGTGGAGGGCTTAATTTCCCCCCCCCCCACCTTAAGAACTGAAACAGCATTTCTGAAGCAGCTTCTTCCCCTCCCCTTTCAAACTCGTTTTTTTTTTTTTTTTAAATTCTCAGCTCACCAACCCTTACCTGGAATGTCAGGTAGGTATTCCATCTTGAAAGCAAAATAAATCTTGTCCACGTTGGGGGGCTTGAAGAATGAGGAAATCGGGTCTTGTGACTTTCTAGCCCTTTTAAAATTGGTCTTAGGGGTACATACTTACTTTTTTTAAAATCTAGTCCTGTGAATGGGTGTGTTTTCTTTTTTCCCGGTGCGGGATGGGGGAGGAGAAGGACAAATCCTGGGCGGGAGATAGTTGATGCAGAGTTGACTTTAGGGGATTGGTGGGGTGACAGGTTTTGCAATCATGAAACTTGCTTCTCTGACTTCGAAATTTTGTAAAACCCGATTGCCAACAACTGCAAAGGAGGAAGTTTGCGAGGGAAGATTTATTGGCCTTTGGAATAGGTGGCACCGCCAATTTTCCAGGTGCTAAAACAAGAGGTGCCAAATGCACAGCACTAAAACTGAGCTCATGAGCAAACATTTTATTTCACACACACACATCCCTCTTCCTGTCCTCCTTACCACTGCCTCTACCCTAAAAAAAAGTGACATCACTTTGCAGACTAGCTCGGAGCCCAGAGAGGGGATATTTTAGGAATTCGGTTTTTTTCCTCAAGGCCTCCAAGCCTATATATTCAGTTTACTTTTCAGCCACGGCGATATTAACCGACTTGCCTGGTCACCTTTGGCGAGCCTGCCTGAATGTCCAGGTGCACACGAAGCTTTACAAAGCTAAGCAAACTTAGAAACGTTGAGGAATTTAATTGTTGACAGACGGGCTGAAAACCATAAGTCAGTGCTCTTGGTGGAACTTAGCACGTTGCCACGTTCCAATGGGAAATCATATTATTTACGCTCAGCAGATCTACCCTGCTCAGCAGCAGAGACAGGAAGCAGCTTCTGTCATTCCCAGAATTCCTAGCCTGACTGGGAATGCTGGGAGCTGCCCAGAAGGTACCACTTTGGAGAAAGTTTCAGTGGTCTCCATGGCAGAACAGGGCGCCATTGATTTGCGGGGCTGGATCAGTTGGGTGGACCTGTTAATGGAAATCTTGGTTAGGGTTAACCTTGGTGAGAGTCTAGGGAGGGGTTGTGAGTGTGACTGGGCTGGGCAAACCTCACCTGTCTGATGGGAATCAGGGTATGATGGGAGTGTGGAGAAACACGTTCATTTCGGGGTGTCCGGTGAATGCAGCCAGTGAAGAAATGGGGCAGGAGGGGGAAGGCTGTATATATTTCTGTTTGCTGTTCCCCCCTCCCCATTTTTGCTGCAAACGCCTCGCGGTTCCCTCGCTCACAATCGCCATTGTGCCTCTGCTAACCCAGCTGTGGCTGGATTCTCTCCTTGCTCAAGCTAAAAAGTTAGCATAAGAGAAGTTCCCAGTGAAAAGGGGGCATGCCCAACAGCTGAATCACAGGATGGTGGAGGGAGGAGGCGTCTCTGAAATAGTTATCTACTAGCGCGGCGCTCAGAAATAAGCATCGTGGAGCGGAATGGCGTTTGTATGAGACTGCAGCCTTTGCTGCTGCTGCTGCTGCTGCTGCTGCTGCTTTTTTTTAAAGAACTTTATTAAGTTATAAAAAACATAAAGAGAAAAGCAAACGAGAGGTGATAATCGAGGAGACAAGTAGAGAACAAGAGAGGTAGAGGTAGAAAAAGGATACAACAGGGATGGAAAGTAAGGGAAAGGGAAGGAAAAAATTAGGAAAAGAATAACTTCCGACTTCTTATACAGCAGAGCTAGATAAATCACATCATAACCTCTTAGAATTGCCGCCTTTGCTGACGATCAGTTCAACTGGAGATTTCCCTCTAGAACGCAATCCATACCTTGGTGGTGGTGTTATTTCTGTTTGCTGAAGTCCCTTCTTTTCACCCTGCTTCCTGCAACTCCCTTACCTGTTTACAAAAGCTGATTACGATATGCAGAGTGACACCCTTTCCTACGCTTCTCCTTCTCATTGCGCTGGGGCGGAGGTGGGCGAGAATAATCTGTTGAGCTCCAGTCTGCCTATGGCAGAAAGCTATGTCGCTAGTCCTTATGGGGCCAGAGGAGTAATCAGTTGCCCTTCAAAACAGATTAAAAAGAGAAACTCTTTTGCAATTGTGATATGCTGCAGAATTTCAGCAGTATATCCATAGGCGTATCACTGGATATTAGACGGTCTGAGAACTCTGAGCGGTTTGTCTCAAACTTTATTTCTCCTGATGATTGTTCTTCTGTCCTGTGTTCCTCATCTTTAATGGCAGGCAAGGGTTATAAATATTGCACTTTCAGGATGGGCTTTTTTATTTTTATTTTGCATTTGAAACGATTGAATGCTTTAAAAAGCACGCACGGGTTTCTGTTTACTTTGTGTTGATCGTGTGTGTGTTTCCAACGATGCTATTTATGTGGAACGTCTAGCTGGAGAAAGTGTACCTTGTCTGGGATCGGTCCTTCAAACCTAGCAGCCACCCTTTTTAAAAATAATACAATGCCTCAGCCTGTTAGGGCTGAGTTATTTTAAACGATGGCTTTGAAACAGGTTTGCCAAGCAAACCTTGTTGCTAAACTTAGCACCCGGGTTATTTCATTTGACAAGCAGGGGGTTGAGGTGGGGTAGAAATGGCTGTGCTGACCTGGGGCTCCCCTAATACAGTATTTATTCTTAATGTTAACTTTTCAAGAAGACCCGCCTGAAATGAAAAACAGGCAGTGCTTTATGTCAGAAGAACTCTGACCAGGCTGTTGGAATTTCCTTTTCTGGAGAAGAAAATTTGCCTTCTCAGCTTATGAACAGATGAACTAGACCTATGTTCCCCATGCAGCCTTATCAAGGTGATTGGGCAAGTTGCTAGTCCACGTTCCACTATGTCTAGGGTCTGCTTTGTGCTGCTTGCCAAGTTATGGTATGGTTTGGCTTGGGCTTGGCAGGGTTAGGGTTTGCAAACCAAGATATGGCCAAAGTGACGGTGAAGTAAGGCTGAATATATCCTCCTGTACCCTCTTCCCATTTGCATCTCTTTAGACCTTGTCCAAATTCATTACTGGAAATTGGAGAGAGTGTGGAAAAACATGGCTTTATTATTATTTTTTGGGCCATTTTGAGGTGGGAAGTACGTAAAAGCTAGACCATAAGCTAAGCTGCAATGAAACTGTAGCGTAAGCTTAGTGTGAAAATGCTTTGAAAAGCCAATGACGCTGTTCAAACATGGTCCCAAAGTTAAGAAAAGCAAACTGTTGATAAACTCTGGTTCTGCCCACTCATTCCGTGTCCGTCTGCCCAACCATTGCAATCTTTGCCAATTCAAGAAAAGGATGCAGGCAGGTTCTGGTTGAGAGCTTAGAGTGTTGTGTGAGTTCAGCCATGGATGGATGCTATAGCGGGTTTGAACCTCTCTTTGTAGAGGTGGATAAAATGAGTCCTACCTTGCAGGTTGGACCACACCTCTTCAGACTGGAAGATGAGGTTCCCAAGTGTGAAGTTTTGTAAATTGCAAAAATGGGGCGGGGGGGGGAAGTGAATTGCTTCTTGTTGCCTGTGGAAAATTAGCAGGGCGAAGAGGGTGGGAGCTGGAACCCAACTGCATGGAGTTATAGCGAACCCAAAGATGTATTTTCCCATCTGCAGTGGTGCAGCCCACTCCCTTCCCTCCTTTGGCTAATCTGGCCTTGGCCTTGGCATGAAGGGGGTAAGATGATTAGATGATGGGAGAGGACACATTTTCCGTGCCAAGGTCCCAGGATCAAACCTTGGCAGTGCACCGCAGCAGAAAACCTTGGTCTTATTCTGAGGACCATTTTTGTTCCTGCCATTCCTTTACTCATTACGAACCCATTCTGGAGTCTTATCGTTGGAGGAGAAAAAGGTTTAAACCCTACGAGATGTAGTTAGTTGCAGGATCCTGTTTGAAATATTTACATATTCACAAGTAGAGGAAAAAGTATGGGGTCCGTTAAGCCTTGAAAGGCCGCAAAAAGAATTCTGCTGGACAAATCCAACAGCCTCTTGCAGGAAGTTGTCTGGCGAGCTTTGTTTTCCTTGTTTGTTTAATTTGAATATATGGTCACTTTTTCTTATTTTTAATAGTGGAATGCAAACAGCTACAACATCAACACACACACACATAAATACGTTTATGGTTATACAGTGAGGAAAAGGTCTACATACATTGGTGGGGATTAACAAAGAAAGAGAAAGAAAGAAAGAGAGAAAGAGGGAAAGAAAGGGAAAGGAGGAAAGGAGGAAAGAAAGAAAGAAAGAAAGAAAGAAAGAAAGAAAGAAAGAAAGAAAGGAGGGAGGGAGGAAAGGAGGGAGGG